ATTTTCAGTGTTGTCATGGGCCAGCGGTAGCAAAGGACAGTGGCTGCAGCATTTCCATTCGTATTTCAATCTTTTAGCTGTCACTGCATGGCGATTCCCTGGTTCGTGGGATGGGGACGTGCCGGCCGTCCGTATTCTGAGCCTTGCCTTTGGTGGTGGCGTCGGTATTCAGCCTTTCACCGTCTGCTTGGATGGGGACGTGCCGGCCGTCCGTACTCTGAGCCGTGCATCAATGGATGGCTGTTTCAATGGATTGGATTATACGTGCTATGCTACAACACTGCGGTCAAGTGTGCTTGGCCAATTGGTTCACAGTTTTCCCCGCTCATCGTGCAGAGTGTCTCGGTGGGCAAGCAGGTCTGGGGCTCCAGATGTTGGTGGCTCTTCTTCTGATCGACTGGGGCGAGGCGGTCTGTGGGCGAGGCGAGCTCCTGCCTTATGGGGAGTTAGCCCAGTGATCGACAGTGTTGCTTCGGCCGGCTAGGGCCTCATAGAGTCAAACTCACTTCAGCTTAGCCATTGGTCATATCAGTGTGAAGTCAGTTCAACGGTTCTGTCTCAGGTCTTTTTCAATTGGCGCCTTCTTGGTGGATGGGAGAAGGAATGAACTCATTTGTGTTGTCACGCGTCGTGAATTGATTTTCTGCGCAGTTGGCTGCTCTCAATGGGGAGGGATTCATCCGAGGTATCATCCGTGCTCCTCGGACTTCTTCGTCTTACGTAGTTGGTGCTGGTTCCTGTTCTACGCCCTCTGGTTCGTCTGCTTCAATTTCGATCTCAGAGGGGAGTAGCCGGATTCAACCCGAGCCTTGGCTCAGGTGGTGGTCGGGTGCCGTTCACTTCGCTTCGCGATCGGTCCTATCCTATCCTATCCTATCCTATCCTATCCTATCCTATCCTATTATCCTCCTCCTCCGCCTCCTCCTCCTCGGCATCAGCGCCGGCTCGGCGTGCACGGCCCCAGCCGCGAAGCCCGACAAGCTCGGCCGTTGCCCGCCGCAGCCTGGCCTCCTGGGTGTTCCGCCGCATCTGGTCCTGGCTGACACTGTCCTGTTCGAGCTGCCCGCGGTCAGAGTAGTGGCGTGCCAGGAGCCACCCTGTCCAACTCGGCGCGACGGGGATCCTCATCTTAGCTGCTTCCGACCAGGTCTCACAGCCGACGGGCCCAGAGACGTGTCGTTGGAGATCATGGTTTAGCAATGGCGCACCATGATAAGACACCGCTCCCTTCATCATTGCGTATGCGTCATAGTTTAGCATGCTGCTGGTGCTCAGGTGGTCAGTCATCATCACAGTGACACAAGGCCCTCGCCTCAGGCAGCGCCACGGTCCGCGCCAAGAGAGCGCCGAAAAGGCTCTGAGTTCGACCAGCTCGACCCGCACAGCTGGTCTGGCGCTACGCACCGCGCCGCGCACCGCGCGGGCCTCCGCCAGCGCCACGGGGCGCGGCTCAGGGAACGCAGGCCCGTGCCCCTCGCTGCGAGGTGGGCCGCGCGCTCCAGGGCGGCGCGCCAAGGGGCACCGCCCACGCGTGTGACCTCCCGGCCTCTGTCGGCCAGGCGTGGGGGAGCCCTCCGCGCAGCCCGGCGCGCGCCGAGCGCCGCGAGCCCGCCGACGGCCGCGACCCCCGAGCGCGGGAGGCCCTCTGCCGGCACGTGGGCGGCAGAGGCCCTGCAACACGCCCGCGCGGCCGCTCTTCGCCCGCGGCCCGGAGCACTGCGGTGCCGCGGGGGGGCATGTGCATCCTCCCTGCTTGCCCGCAGCGCGCGGGGCCTTTTGTTAGCGCGCGCGCACGTCGCAGAGCCTGTCTGACCCTGTGTATACATAGGGTTAGGTCGGGCATGTCCCCCTACAGGCGGATTTTGGAGGAAAGATTAAGACTTCGCCAAACAGATTCCTAAATCAAAAATAGATGTAACAAATCGCCCCCAGACTATTTCTGGACTATTTTTGAATACTCCTCCTGTAGAGGGACACGCCCGACTTCACACACGGGGTCAGACAGGCTCTGCGACGGCTTGCGAGCAGACTCTGCCCTCGAGGCACGACTTCTGGAAGGCCACGCTGCCGCGGGCGGACAGAGCAACGGCCTGGCCGCGCAGGCTCCCGCCCGACGGGAGCGGGCGCGCGCACGGGGAGCGCACGGGGAGCGCGCGCCGGCGAGCAGCGGCGGGGATGGCCCGGGCGAGGGCGCCCGTCCCCTCGGCGACCGCGCAGGCCGGATCGGCCGGCGGCGATGCCGAGGGGGAGGGGCGCGCGAGCGAGGGGGGGCAGGCCCTCTCGGAGGGCAGCGGGGCTTCCGAGAAGTCCCCCCCCCAGCCTTGTGATAGGGAGGCGAACAGTATGACCGAGACATAAAAGCTCGGGGGTCCGCGCGGACTTCTCGCATCGGCGCTGGGTCCCCCCCTGGCGGCGCCTCCAGCGCCGCCCTTGGCGCGCGGAGGGGGGTCCAGCGCCGCTCCGAGAAATCCGCGCGGAACTCCGAGTTGTTATGTTTATGTCATTGTTCGTTCCCCGATGTGCGGCTGGCAGCTGCGACGAGGACGCGAGCCCAGGCGCCTCTCGGC